TTTTAATATCCCACTTATTTCCAACACATCATCTATATATTCAATATAATCTTGAAGATTGTTTTATTTATCAAAATTATCAAATTTTAAAATTGTCATTTACTTGCTATCATTATTCGTTTCACTTAACATATTTATTTCACCACTTTTATTAATTTAAATGTTTGATTCATCACTTTTACCAATTACAGTAGTTAGTTTATCTTCTTTATCAATAATAAGAATTTGCCCTTCGCAATTTACTAAACTATATATGACTTTATTGTTGCATTCAATAGAAAATATATAAATGTCAATCACATGATGATATAATCCAAATAGAATTTAATATAAAATGTATGAACTATAATAATATCTTATATAGCATTTATCACAAATAGTTTTCGGCTAATCAGTTTAGCCGATTTTTTAAGTCGGTTAAAAATTAGCTTAAACTGCTAAAAATATAATAATTACCCAAAAATAGTTACGAGACAACTATATAAATATATTTGAAATCAAAGAGGGCCTGGTTTTTGCATTTTTAAAATCTCATAAATTTAAATATTAATATTTGTTGATGTATGAAAATGAAAAAATTTTTCAACATTTTTAAATTTAGTTAATAATCTTATTTTTATAAATAAACTAAATCAATTCGAATTAGATGTTGGCTGTAATTCCTCTTCAATCGTGCCATGTGTGCTGTAATTTTTATAATAATATTGTAAGAAACAATATGCTGAAGATATAATAAGATACATTATGGGAGGGATATCAGAAATCAGATAGTGGATTTTAAAAAATGATCCAAAATTTAATAGTGTCAAAACCTTTTAATTGCATATCGCTTAAATGCAAACCCTTTTAAATGCAAAAAACCCAGCGATTTTAATAAAAATTACTATGGTATAATGTTAAATTACATTTATAATTGCGAATCAGTTAATTGTGAAATATCGGATAATTGCGAAATTTTTCAGGCCCAATTTATATTACAATAACATCGAATAAGTGAATAAATAAAAAAAATTTATCGAAAAAAAATATTCGTGATTTTTTTACATGAAACTGCTTGCTTTAATTTTTTTTAATTCAAAAATGGTAATTTCATTATATATTATCATGTTAAAATTATTTTAGAATAAAACATCATTTCAAACGTTAACTCTCAATTAAGGGGGGGGGGGATTATTAAACACTACTTCAAAAACACGATGATTTTGGTTGCTCTAAATAATCTGTAACATGTTTACGATCTATATTTTTGCCCATTTGTGTCAAAAAAATTCAGAAAACTTTAAAAATAACGATTATGACAATTGTCCCTTTTCTATGCTACATCTTCATGAAATTTTAATTTAACATGTTTACCACCTATATTTTTATCCATTTGCGTCAAAAATATTCAAAAGACTTTAAAAATAATGATTATGACAATTGTCTTATCTAGGGGTCATCTTCCCTGAAGTTTTTCTAAACATGTTAACACTACTTAGCCCATTTACGTCACAAAAATATAAAAACTTAAAAAATAACGATTATAACAATTGTAACTTTTATATGAAATTATAATTTAACATGTTAAAAATACATATTTTTGATTATTAACGTGAAAAAAAATCTAATATGTTTAGAAATACCTATAAAATTTTAAAAAGGGAGTAATTTATTTCAAAAGGGGAATCAGTGGTTTTTTTTTCGGTTTATATTCTCTTAATTTAACTTGGGTAGTTTGTTCTACGAATGACAATATATTTATATTTTACCTTTATTCTAATTAACCTTTATTTTTTTATTTTTATTACTTGGCAAACACAATTCCAAAAATTTTACAAGAAATAAATTTTGAAGAAAAAATAATAATCAATTTTTATTTTCACACAATATATATCAACATTGAATGATTGGTAAATAATATAAACAAGAATAATCTAAAAATTAATATAACTTATTTTTTCGCGATAATATTTCAACTAAAAAACAATAAATAAATAAAACTTACTTAATCGATAAAAATAAATATAAGAAAATACCCAATATTCGGTTGCTGCCACTCTCGGGGGGTATATTTTTATTTTATTATGTTATTTAAAAAAAAAATTAATATGTCATTTTTGTTCGGAAGTGACGCTCTCAATTTTATTAAAACCATAGGAAAAAAAATGAGGCAGATCTCAGGGGACCCCAATGAATGATTTTACCTTTGCCTAATTTTTTAAGCATTCACTCTTCTCTAGGGTGATATATACCATTTTTTTAAAAAGTTTTTTTCCTCAGTTCTTTTTTATATTTTTTTTTTTAATTCATTTTTAATATATGCTTATTGTTTTTTTATATATATTTATTTAATTATAATTTGTAAAAAAATAATTTGGGAAAATTTGTTTTTTAAATAAAGTATTCACCAGAAAAAAAGAAGAAGATATTTTAAAATAATTACTTTTTTTGGTGATAATACTATAATTAATGGAAGATTCCATAAATAAAAAAAAATTTAGCAACTTTAGGAAAATTACTTTTTTTTAGTGATAATACTATAATTAGACCTGTGCGTCAACGAAACTATCGGCGGCCGGCGCAATTTTCAAAAAATATAATAGATGACAGGTGGCGTGCCGATTTTTAGCCGCCGTCAATAAAATCGGTGAAATCGGTGCAGTTATAAATTTTTATAACATAAATTTTTATAACATAATTTTTTAAATTGATTATTAATTTTTAATAAAAACAAATAAATATACACTATTCTACAGATATATCGGCATATTTTTTAATATTCATTTAACAGAAAACTTATTATATCCAAAATCGATTTCGTAATTTAATTATGATTAAAAATTATTTTATTTTAATTTTCGGGACATAATGATGATTTCCTTGAATTTAACGTCAATCCAGCGGTAGAGAAAACTCTTTCACTAGTGTGAGTCGCCCAATAAAATTTTTTGTCTAGCCTGGAAAGATTTGGAAGTTCATTTTTCATTTCTCTCCAAAAATTTAGAACGTCCATATCTTGTGAATATCGTTTTCCAAGAAAACTGTGGTTCTTGTTATAAGTCCTAAGTTAGAATCATAATTTATATTTGTTGAAAGTTTATTTGCCAATTTTGTCAAATAACTTGAATTTAATCATTCATCTTCATCCTCATTAGCTATATATACTACCTGGTTATCATCATTCTCTATAAGTTTAAGATGTTTTATTATAAATTCTGAAGCTGAGCAATTTTGCTCTATTAAATACTTTGACACAATTGTTAATTTTTAAAATCTTGGATCTAAAAGAGAAGCCAATACCTAGATAGTTTTAAATAAAAAATAAAAGAATATACTTATATAATATTACTTGTAGATTACAAACCGGAAATCGTAACGCAAGTTTTTTTAGCATATTTTCCTTATGTGAAATAATTTCAGAACTATCACTATCATTTACTTTTAAATGTGTTTCAATTTCATTTCTAAAAAGTAACGCTAAATTTAAAGTAGGCCCTTTTTGTACTGAAAGAAATTCATCAGTTTCTTTATTTTAAAAGAAATGCTAATAGTTCTTCTACCAGATCAGATTCATAATTTGAGAAAGTGCTTCCCAATTATTTTCAAAGCATTATTAATTAAATTCTTATTTAATACAGATATGCTTTCATAATTAATATACTATGCCAACGTGTTGGATATTTAATTTTAAGGTATTCATATGCTGAATTATTGTTATTATTATCATTGGAATTGCAAATTTGAAAACGGGTACTTGGGTATGAATCAATACTGCCAAGATCTTACATGTCTGATGTTAAATCTACTGTACTTAGACATTTTCTTTTATATTCCTCGAATTCAAATTCAACCTCTGCAGTTTTATATCTTATAGCAGTAATAATTTTTCTAATTCTTTTGCAAAAAATTTCCAGACTGTATATTTTTTATTATCCAGAGTTAGGATACTAAAATTATTTATAGAACTATTAAATGTAGATACATCCATTTTAAAAATATGTAAAATTATGGTAACTTTTGAAATTTTAGATTTTTGATTGATTGAATTCTATAATGAGGTAAATATAATTATGATTTTAAAATAGTAGAAAATAAAAATTTATCAAAATCGATTGACATTGAAAAATTACAAGAGTGATGTTGACCAATCAGCATCTACATGACAGGATTTTCACTACATGCAAACCCCCTTAAAAACCTTTGCCTACCCCCCCCCCCCCCCTAAAAAATCCCGCCGCCTTCGGCGGCAGTGTCTCTTTATTATTATTTTCACCTTTATAATTATATTGATACTCTTTTCAGAGAATTTATAAGGATTACTTAAATTAATATATCTCTACTACCAACTATCGATATTTTGTGAATATAAAGATTTTATTTTTTAGATCATAAATTCAATTAAAACCTCCATTATTTACAATGAATTAATTATTATGAGCTTGCTGATTTGGAAAACAATGTTTATGATTGTTTGCAATATATAGATTTGGTCAATAATTGTATTATAATAATTCTATAATAAAAGTATTAATTTTTACAGCAATAAATTGTGTCCTATTTCATCTCAAAATTTAATAGATAACCCCCCAAAAAATTTTTCCTACCCCCATTAAAGCAGCCTACCCCCTTCCCCCTCAAAAAAATAGGATGCAAACTGTTCCTACCCCCCCCCCCCCCCGCTCATGTAGACGCTGTGACCAATTATCAGAATAATAAGGTATAAAATATGAAAGAAATTTCTGTGCCGGCGTTTTTATTGTAACCAAAAAAGGTCGGCGGCCGGCCAGCGGTGGGCCGGCGCACAGGCCTAACCATATGTAGTTTTGTAGTAAGTATTTCTTGTCATATTTTGTATGTATTATGTAAAAAACACATATTGTTTCAGTCTTTTAATATTTTATTTTTATTAATAACTTACCCTGTATAATATAATATAAATAAAATATTTAATCATATATGTTTTTTTGTTGATGGGATCCTTAAAAAGAGTTTACAAATATAAACCAAACATCTTAAATTGTAATATATAAAATTCATTCATTCATATTTTTAATATTAATTTTTTTTGCATTGTAGTATGACATATTATGAAAACAATCAAGTTAACGTTCTTAGAAGTATGTATATAAAATATTTATACACTTATAAATTCATTAATTTTATAATTATTTGATAATAGGTCTAAATTGTAATATATCATTTTTATATATTTATCTGAATAAAAGTATGGATTGTAATGTATAAATTTTATTTGCCCAAACGTTTGATCAAAAATATTTGAGGATCACAAAACTTTTGCATGAAAATTAGGAAAAATTTTTAGCAAAAAAATTTAATTTTAGATAAAATTTGATCAAAATACTTAAAAAATTTTTCAGATATCAAAATCTTTGAAGATTATTTTGAAGAACATTTTAAACTCTGTAGCATAAATATAAATATATTATAGTTAATTAAAATATTTTGAATTATATAAAAAAATTATATTTTACCAAGTGAATATAAATTAAATCAGCCCAATGCCATAGTGGCCCAACAAAAAAGCACCATTTTTTAAAAATAATTGATCAGCACATATAGCAGAGGTAGGATTAATGTGGCAGCTTCTACACCCTCCCAAACCAATAACAATATTCCCTCCCCCCCCCTCTTACATTCCCTCCCAACCCTACTCATATTCCCATTCTCCACCTTTAATCCAAATTAGCAACAAAAAAGAAAATCCAAATTAGCAAAAAAACAAAATTTTAAAAACCATATGCTAACCTACTCATACACCCCCCCCCTAATTAATTAAAATTTTGCATCATGCCCCTTCTTGTTGGCTTGGGAGGGTGTAGAAGCTGCCACACTAATCCTACCTCAGCTATATGTGTTGATCAATTATTTTAAAAAATAGTACCTTTTTTGTTTGGCCCCTATGGCATTGGGTTGATTAAATTAGTAGAATTAAGAAGAAATTAGGCAAAATAAATCACATAACTGAAAAAATTTGGTAAAGTTGAATATATTTTTTATATACAAAATGCTTAAATTTGTTAACATAATATTAGAAGACATAATTATTTTGATTTTGTACTGGCTTATCAAATTGTGGTAAATTTAAAATAACAAGCATTAACTATAATTTTATTTACTTATATGACAAATAAAACATAAAAATGTACTTGTTTTAGTTATTTTGTAAAATATTTTAGTATATATTAACATTGTTTTATTTTGTTTTTTGATGATTCATTTCAAGAAATTAATTTTGTTGATTGATTTGTTACTCAGCTTACAAAATTATTTTTAATTTTATAATATTCTATTTAAGATTGTTTATATATAAATTTTAAAATCATAAAAATAAGCATAAAATTTGAATTCATAAAATGATTTTTCTCATATAGAAAGGCAGATAATTCAAATGAATTCCCATATTTATATATAATAAATAAATATTTATGTAAGTAGTATTAAATTAATATTTTAAATTTTGCCTAAATCTCATTAAATTATGATAAGATGTTAAATAGATATTTTTTTAGCATTAGCATCATTATTAAACATTTATTAATTCTTATCCTCACCTAAAAATCTCACAATATAACTGTTTTATTTAATAATGAATACAGATATTTAATTTAACAGTAACAGGTTGAAAAATATTTTTATTTATTCGATAATTTTACCTTGACAATAATTTAAAAAAAAAATATTTTTCATGATTAGAAAAATTTTATTTATTAATATTCTATTCTTAAGAATTTAAAATTTATTTTAAAATTTGTGATGTTTTTTTTAAACCATTTTCCAACTAATTTTTTTGCTTCCTCTTGATTGTGTATTTGTTAAATAAAGGCTTGAATGTCTAATAGACATCACTTTTACTGACTTAATCATTTTTTATTTTAACATAAATTCCATAAATTAAATCCTTGTATTTTATTTTTCTTCTATCATAAAAAAGTTTGCTTTAAAATTATCAACCCACCATGATTGTATCATAAGACACTATCTACATTATTAATAATTTATAACAGGCTATTCCTTCAATTATTATAAATGGAACCTAACTCATTAATAAAAGCAATTAATAATATGATTTTTTAAAATAAGTTTAATATGTTGGGAATTTAAATTTAATGCAAATTTTTTTGATTTTAATTTATATTTTTTTTTCGGTCTTAAAGTATATTTTTTTAAAAATATTTCATAAATCGATAAAGTATACCTTATTTAATTGAAAAAAAACGGCAAACTTTAAATTCCACAAATTATTGAATTTATACATAAATCCATTAAGCTATACAAACTGACCATAAATGATAAAACATTAAAAATCACAAAACAGTAGATATTATTATTATGATTTAATTATATCTTATTATATATAAATGTCTAAAGATAGTATTTATTAGGCAAAAATATCTAATAAATCCTTGAATGTAATTATGTAAATTACTAATTATGCTTTTGTTGTTAGAAGTATAAATTAAGTTTCGAAACTGATTGTCATTCATCATATGCATGCATTATAAGAAAATATAAATTAGTGTAATAATGTCTCTTAAATTCTTGCATTCATTAGTTTGTATTTTAAAATAAACATTAAATATAAGTTATTAATTTTATAAGTGCATTGCGCATAAATTATCTCTTTATTATGCAATATTAATTTTTTTAAAAAATTTCGACCCTAATATTAGGGCAACCTAAATTTAAGTGGGAAAAGTCGTCGGATCTCTGATTTCATAATTTAAATAATAAAATACTCGACATTTATTTCCCCAAATTTGTTATAATCATCTTAGAAGTGGGCGGGGCTGTGAAAATTCCCAAGGATCACTCCGCCATTGGGAATAAATTTTCCAAGCGTAATTAGACCTGACGAGATTTTCAAAAAAATACGGGCGTGATTGGGCTCGAATAGAAAGCTTGCGTAAATCACGAAAAATTTGAAAAAATGTGAATTTTTAAAAATGCATTTTTAAATGTGAATTTTTTTTTTTATTCTGCCTTCAAAATAATAAATAATTTAATAAAACTTTAAAATTTTATAGATTTAAACGTTAATTATCTTTAAAGTTTATAACTAATTTTGAAGTTAGTTTTTGAGCGCAACTTATACAAATTTCAAGAACTTTATTTTAACAAATTTAACAAAAATGAATAAACTATTAGAATTTTTAATTTGCCATATTTAAATCCTTTTTACTTTTTCAGTAAATTAGTCATTAAAGCCAGTTCGGCTTCTTGTGAACGATTTTTTACAGCCGTTAAACGTTTATTAGAGGACGAACGCAACTAAAATAGAAAAATATTGTGCCGTCCTCACTGTCACTAAAATTTTCAGGAGCAAAATTTGAAAATAACCAATAATTATTGTAAAATTTTATATATTTTAATGAGTGTATGGATCATAATATTATTTTCTTATATGATTATTAAAATACGGACATTTTTGAAGATGGTTCTATGTATCCCAATATGTAAAAATAATGTTTCTAATAATTAGCATGATACGAGCTTTTAGATAATAATAGAGGACCTATAAATATAAACATTTCTTCAAAAAAAGACATTTTTTAAAAATGTTACATACGAGATCTTTGAGGGAATCCTTCTTTTTTTAGATAAAAATTTTGATTTATAAATGCCACATGAGTTAGTGTTGTAAAAAGCCCGATTTTCGGGTCGTTTTTTAAAGACGGCCTGATTAAGATTATGACCAAAATAATATTATATAAGTCTGAAGATTTTGCTCATAGATGGCAGAAAGGTTTGGACATATTTGCCAAATCTCGAGGTTTACATTATGTTATTTTGGCTAAATGGGCTGTTTTTAGAAATCGATCCAAATCGGGCTCTTTAACAACACTAAACAAGAGTAGTGAATAATTAATTGTAAAAAATTTAAAAGACGTTTATGCAGAATTATGATAATAGAAAAGGCGGGGATTATAATAATATTTGATGAGTAAATAAATGCAACCACGCCGGGCCATCTTTATTATCGTTAAAACTCTTTATAATAACGTTAGGTGATGAATATAATGATTACAATTCTTTTATATTATAAATAAATTAACAATTCATAAACATAATTAACAATAACAAAGTCACGTTACCAACCAAGATGGGGTGACAATTGATGTATAATTAGTTATGGGGTCTGAGATGATCTAATCTTCAGATAATTGAGTATTGGAAGGGAGCAAGGGGAGAAAGGTGCCAATGTGGCTAAGCCAGTGAGTTTATTTTAAAGGCTTATAAGTAGCCAAGCCAGTGAGTTTATTTTATTCTAAAGCTCATTCATTGGTTCCTTTCTTTTTTGGGATGTTTTTATTGGAGATTTCTTCCTTTAAGGTTTCTGTGGAAAAATTTTTACGTTGGCTAGTACTCTTACACAATGGAAAGTTAATAATGAAAATTTTAAAAGATAATTTTTCCATTGCGTAAGTCTATATATATAGGCGAAAGACCTTATTTCTGAGAGCCTTCGCAAAAGATTTTTCCACCCTTAATAACAAGACGTGCAGACTATTAAATATTAAAGCTATATTTATTTATAATAATATAAGTGTTAGTGTAAATATATATAAAAAGGGGTATGAGGGTCTGGGGTATTAGGGGATTTGTGAGTGCGTGTGTTATTTGGTATGTTCCTCGTTGACATTCTCTTCGATAACCGTTTCGATGTTGCTTTCATCCAGTGATGTTTCCATGGTAGCTTCGAAAATGCCCGGGTCGAAGCTGTCGTTGTTCGCTTGTAGTCCTTGCTCGATAATGCCCTCCACTTCATCTGACAGACGAATGGGGGTTGACGCTCTGATCCATGGTAAGGCCTCTTCGATCCTAGGTAATCCTGTCGTGTTGATTCCATGCATCATATTGTGGGCTGCTTCGCTTCCTATTTATATCCTGCTGGGTCCGTCAGCTGGATTCTCCTCCGAGGGGATCCATTTGATATTCCTCGCGAGGTGGACAAAATCGTGGAAACCTAAGGCTAGCATGATCCTAGTAACCAGATGCTCACATGCCGGGGATCTCGATCCTCCCTTTTTAATGATAGTGTACGCTACTTGACTATCCGAGACAATGGAAGGGATGGTGGAGAATCTATTCATACCGT